CAGTCAAACCTACTCTGCAACCAAGGTAGCCAGTTACCTCCTCAACCACAATCTCTCCTCCAGGACATCTCTTTGTGGAGTTATACCACCTGCTGGTATAACTCTGAGGCCAAGGTAACTTTTATTCCTATAGATTTCTCATTGGACTGAGTCTGATTGCTCTTTAACTTTTTAGTGCTCTGTATAGTGTCTGGCACAAAGTAAGTGCTGTAAATAAATTAATGTGTATCATCATCTGATGGCTATGGCCAGTTTTTCCATGTACAATATGTGCCTTCCAGGGTATCCCCCTTTCCTTTGGCTGGCTCCCTCTGATGCTGACCACATGCCATCCGTCAGCACACACTTCTGCCATGTGAACTTTCTCACCATTTCTGAGGTCAGTTTGGAACCTGAACATGGGACAATCCAGGTGGTAGAGCAGAAACATACTGTTCTGAGTCCTAAAAGGCCCTCCTTTTGTCTAGGAGACATCATTGACAAGGTTCTCTTATCTCGGTATGTGTTTTCCTCCAGGTTCTAGTCTTTTTTGGTTTGTTCTGTTCTATGAGTAAATTGAAATGCTTAATAGTTAAATAGAAGCCTAAATGTTATCTGAAAACAACAAGAAAATTTGCAATTGCAAAGAAACAAAACAATATGCAATTAAAAAAACACACAACTAAATGGAGAAAAATAATGTTAGTATTTATCTCTGGATAATTACATTGTGGTTCCTTTTCTTTGCTTTTTTTGTTTTGTTTTCAAAATTGTCCAAATTAATATGTATTACTTTAATCTATATCATTATATTTTAAATTTTATTGTGGGTGTTTCCTAATTACATCTTACAGATTGTTTTGTTCTAATATGGAACTCACTATCAAATACTTCAATTGCTGTTGACCACATGAATCTGACATTAGAGTGGTCCAATTAAAGCTGCATAAAAACAGAAATCTCAAAGGAAAAATTGCTCAGAGGAATTAATTACAGCTTAACAAAATAGAGAAAATGGATACTTAATTCATTATTTCAACATTACTGAGTGTGTTTCATGTGTTGGGTAGTTTGCTAGATGTTAAAAAATTAATTTGATATTAATACACATTCAGAGCTGGTAGGAATCTGAGAGACCACTGAGTCTGAAGTTCTTTGTTCATAGACAAGGAAACAGAATAATAGGAGAAAATGCCAGGGTTGACCTAGAACATATATGAAGACAAACATAGTTTCTGCCCCCAGTCACTTAGATCAAGATACCCACAATTAAAATTTGCGTCAAGCTCTAGCTGGTTTGGCTCAGTGGATAGAGCATCGGCCTGGAGACTGAAGGGTCCCAGGTTCGATTCTGGTCAAGGGCACATGCCCAGGTTGTGGGCTTGATCCCCAGTACAGGGTGTGCAGGAGGCAGCCGATCAATGATTTTCTCTCATCATTGATGTTTCTATCTCTTTCTCCCTCTCCCTTCTGTCTGAAATCAATAAAAGAAAACATTAAAAAAATGTTGTGTCAAAATGCTTAAAGAGTAAAGGCAGGGGTGTAACAGTACCATGGAGAAAGGGTCTCTGCCCCAGATTAAGGGACAGCAAAGGAGGCCTATTAAAGACACTTACATTCTATCTGAGAACCAAAGAAATGAGCAGAAGCCTGCCAAGTGACTACACAGGAATGGCCAGATGGCCAGAGAGAACTGTATACAAAAGCCCAGAGTTATGAGACAGCAGCAGTGCCTGCTTAGAGACTGCCCCCAAATTCAGCCTGTCTAAGGAAGAGAGGGCGCGGTGGTCTGGAGTGGCATGGGGGTGCAGGAGGAGATCTGAGAGTGAGGTGGAGTTGATGAGTAGGTTGCAGAGGAGGGAGGGTATATGTTCAAGTGCACAAGCTGGGAATTGGTGGGGCTGCCAGTGATCATATGAGAAGGGCTTTACATGCACCTGCAGAATATGTGGCTTTATCTCTAAGGCTCTGTGATGGCGACAGATAGATTTAAGCCTGTGAGTAGCATGAATTGCCTGGATTTTAGGGGTTAATGCAGGGAAATCAGTTAAGGAGTGACTGTCATAATCTGATTGAGAGATTGATTGTTGAGGAGATAGCAGGGGAGAAGGAGAAGTAAGAATAGACCATGTTATTAGTTCAACACAAGGTCACAAGTATATACACTATTCTGATCATAAAGTAAGTTACTACCTCCTTTATGTGGGCAAAAAAAACCCCACAAGATACAAACATTAATTAACATCTTAGAGCTTATACCTTAAAACCAAAATAAGTACTCATTGCCAGGTTAAAAATTAAAGGGCTTTGTATAATTGTTTACTCTTTAGCTTCATAAAACTGTTCCTTTTGTTCCCTAACAAAAAATATCAAACAAAATAAATAGATGGACAAAATAGGAATAAAAGTTACATTGGCCTCATGAATTAAAATCGCTTACATAATGTAAATGCCTATAAAAAACACCTAATTTTACATGGAAAAGAGTCAGAATTGAAACATTAATTCTTTGATACTTTAAAAAGAAATGAATTAGCATATAATATGAAATTATTTTGGAAATGTATATTCTCTGGGATTCATATTCTTTTGTTTTCTGCTTTCCAGTAGATGAGTAAATCACCTAAATGTAGGATTCCATAGCTTTCCCAATAACTTCACACTCTTAAAACCTTTACAATTCTATATAAGTCCTTTGAAGGAGGAAAGAATAGAGACAATATGATGTCATGTAGCTTCTATCATCACCAAAATTTTTACGTCCCTTCAAAATACACCAACTTCTGCATAATGGATCTTTATAGACAGAGATATTTGCTGGTTTGTCTGTAACCATTGCAGGCTACTAACTACTTGAATATACTGTATCTTTTCTTTCAATAGTTCAAAATACTTTGATAACAATTAAACTTCAGTTACCTATCACATCTAACCGTAACTGATATGGAACGTGGCATATATAAAAACATATATTTATCTACATATGGGAACAGTTATAAAACCACATTTACTTTCTCAATGAACAGTTTGGGAATAAAAAAAAGCAGGCATTATTCTACCTGGATGAGGAAACGAAGCACTAAAACAAAATATTTTGTTACTACTCACAGAGAAAAACTGTGGGGAAGTGGGGAAAAAAAACTATCTCTGAAGCCCGTTTCAGTGTTGAACAGCTGAAGTTTCAGGATATATATTCAGGTATTAATCTCTAGCCAAGCCTTTGAGAAAGTTATTTTAAACCTCAGCCAAATTCACTGTTTTAATTATGCAAAACTCACTCGTTTAATAAACCCACTCTACAGCCCACTGCTCAAAGTCTTTAACAGCAGGATTCTAATAGAGCCAGGTCCAAAATGGAAATGGTGCCATCTGCATCACCCCATCCGCTCCGGCAGCACTGCTATTAAATTAATCGTACAGTCTGCAGGATACAACAGCAGAGACCCCACTGGTGTGGAACCAGTTGAGTTTCTGTTTAACCCCCAGCAGATAGAAACACTGAGCCAGCTCAGTCACGGCTAGTCAATCTGTACCTAAGGGCTGTGTCCAATTTCCCTGACCAACGGAATTAAGAACCAAAGAAGGAAAGGGAAAAGTAAGAAGACATTAGTTCCCTAGCTACAAATATAAATAGGTTTCGATTGAGTAAGCTTCAATGTTCCTGATTGTATAAGAATTGGCTGGCCAATATGAAATGAATTTAAACAATAGGATTAAAGATAGAATGTCTGCAGAATGAGTCCAGGTCTTCACAAAAGGAAGTACATGAAGCATATCTTTTTAAAATGACATTTTAAATATATATTTACATATTGGTATAATTTTAGGTTAATTATTACTTCTATTATTTGAAACTGTACTATTTTGCAATTTTGATATTTACTGCAGGTAATTTTGCATTATCCAGTTTTGACATAATAAATATTAGACAACATTCAATTTTTATCCCTCCAAAATTCTTTTACTTTCTGTCTGTATCACACAATAATAGTAATTATGTTCTCTTTCTGCCCTGGCAAAAATTAAAATGGTCAGTTTCACCCAAAACTCATGGGAAACTGACCATTGAGGAGACCTGGACATATTTAGAAATACGTTTTTTGCTTTCCATGTTTCTTTAAAGTTATATGACTCCATGGGCCACCTCCCCCCAAACACACACACACAAAAATTAGGCTTGTAAAATGAGCAAGACAATGCTGGTCATGCAGCACTGTAGTTACTGGGTTCAGCTCACTTGAAAGGAATATTAATCATCATGCCTCACCTTCCATATACCACTTAATGCTTAGTAAGAAAGTTGTAAGGCCTTGCTGTACATAGTAAGGTAATTTAATGACTGCATTTCTACACCAAATATTTTAAAGGTATTGCATGGAATAAAAAAATTCAAGGTTAAGATAAATTGAACCCTCACTCATTATAGTATACTAGAGGCCCGGTACACGAATTCGTGCACAGGTGGGGCCCGGCCATCCTGTCCTGATGGGGGCCCATCAGGCTGGACCTGTGGGGGGGAAGGGCTGTGGGCAGTTGGCAGCCAGCCCCACCCCCAATCAGGGTGTTGAGAGCGAATTGGGGGCAGGGCCTGCTGGGAGGGGGGGGGGAGGCCAATCGGGGCCGGGATCAGGCTGGTTGGCTGCTGCAGTGTGTGCCATAGCCATGGTCATTCTGGTTGTTCTGGTCGTTCCGCCATTCCTGTTGCTGGGCTTTTATATATAGAGATTATTAAAAATGTTTGCTAATAAGTCAAAAATATGATTGTGGTACTATCTTAGTAAATATCGGATGTAAATACTTTAAAGATTATCATACATTTTGAAGTTATTTCTATTCTAATCATTAAATATTATTTCTATATGTGTGCCTGAAGTTAAATGAGAAGTAAAGGTACTTATTTAAACACTATCAAAAATTAAAACAAAAGAAAACTAAGTATGAAAACTTCCCTTTCTCATATAAATGTATATATATATATATACTAAATAAAAATTAGAATAAACACAAAATTAAACATTTACCTTTAGTTTGAAGTTTCCTTTCAGGTTTCTCCTCTTTTTCAGTTTTTTCTTTGCGTATTTCTAGGGGAAAATAGAATTTATAATTTAAAAAGTCTTTTTGAAAATGTGCAAAATATAGACAATAGCTATGACTCCATAGCTATTCACCATGATGCCTCAATCATTATATCTAACAATAACAAGCTTATAGATGCCTAAAAGGAAAGATTTTATAACATATTGCTACAAAAAATTACTCATTTATTGAAATAAAGAAAAAATGTGAATTACCTCAGATTAGAGTTATTTGAAAAAGTTTAAAAACTTATATCAATGGAAATATAGTGCCACTGTTTTCAGTGTGAAAATTGATCCCAAAGTATAATTATGTTTTATATCAGTTATTCTCTTTTTTTAAAAAAATATATTTTTATTGATTTCAGAGAGGACAGGAGAGGGAGAGAAAGATAGAAACATCAATGAGTGAGAATCAACTGATTGGCTGCCTCATGCAAGCCCCACACTGGGGATCAAACCTGCAACCCGGGCATGTGCCCTGACTAGGAATTGAACTGTGACCTCCTGGTTCATAGGTCAATGTTCAACCACTGTGCTACTCCGGGCAGGCTGTTTTATATCAGTTACAAATTAAGAATACTTAGCAAGAATGTCACTTAGATTTAGGAAGATTTAGTTTTTACATATTAAATTAAGAATTTGTGAAATGAACTGTAACAACTATCTCATAAAATATGTATATATCAGGAGCAGTGACTCTAAGCTATATTTATAATCAGAATTTGGTATTTAATTTAACCAATAATTACTGTAAGCAGATATGACCCATTTCATAAAATAAGTTAGTTGTTACATTTTTCTAAACATCAGGTTTTAAGAAATATATTTAATTTGCTGCTAGCTTCAGTACATATGCATTTGCAAGGGTTAGAAAATGAAGTTAATTCTGAATTTGCAGTTAATTTGGATAGATGTAATTTGAGATTAGAGTTTGCAAATATGATTACTACCTCTGAAAAGTGACTTAATCTTAAATTCCATGGTTTTTCTTAGGAAAATGCTAATGAGGTTTACTTATTTAATTATCACAACTTTATCCCACAGATGGTCTGTCATGGTGCTAATTACTGTATATATTTTAAACTCTCCATTTGTGAATTAAACTTTAAATTTTGGTAATTTTTCTACAAGTTTAAAATCAAGACTAACCATAAGGAAATCCTAAATATCTTCAGAAAAGACAGTTACTGGTTCCTGTTCTCCTGTTAAGGAGGTAATCACCACTGTGAAGATTTCCTTCCCTCATTTTTCCTCAGTAATTCATCATCAGACTATGCAGGGCCACTGCTCTACCCTTATTCCATCCCTGACTTTGAATATGGCAATAGAGATATAAAAGAGTTAAGATACTCACTCACCTCTCTTTAAAAACACAATTCACTAAGGTGCCAGGAAAGATCTCCACAGGGCACAGGAAACATTCATCTTCCTGGATCTCTGTTTTTTTGTTTTGTTTTGTTTTAATTTCTTCCTTATAAGTCTATAGATCCTACTTCAAAGCAGGGTTTGTCATCTTAGCATCATTGACTTCTTGGGTTGAGTGGATCATTATTTGGAGTGCAGTGGGTCTATTCCAGGGGTGGGCAAACTTTTTGACTCGAGGGCCACAATGGGTTCTTAAACTGGACCGGAGGGCCGGAACAAAAGCACGGATGGAGTGTTTGTGTGAACTAATATAAATTCAAAGTAAACATCATTAC